GTCTGTCAAATCTTAAACCATAGGCAGGATTGAAATGATATGTAGCTAACATATCATGAATTAATAAATTTTGTTAAAATGTCGTCATGCATGTGCGACATTTGTGTTGATAAACATCGATTTTCCCATAATACAATGCGCTCTTCAAATGGAAATCACAAGTATAATTTTTAACCTGGGCTCCACTTGCACTGAATACCGCCAGTGACTCCTTCGACATCTTCCAATCACCTAAAAATGACCTAATTAAAGCTTCGAAATAGCTCACTTAGTACTCGTTGATCTGTGCATTAGTCAAAGTTGTCATCTTTGTTTATACGTGACCCATATACCTCGCGCATATGTGGCGAGAAGACTACTGCCCTTTAATGCATTAATTTGACCAAATGATTAAACAAAGCTGAAGTTTGTTTCCGCTTCTTGCGAGCCCAAATGGCATCACCTGGTAAGAGCGGCATTGGAATGTACTATGCGAAGATGGAGGAGTAAATCAAGAGTAAATGGGTGCTCATAATGAATTTACTGACAAATGAGGGAATTTATGAATTCAAGTAAATTATTTAAATCGTGTTCTGTGGGCCAGAATGGCACTAGACAAGTTGAGATTTGTGATATTGGGCATATTATGAACTGGTTCTTATGGTCAATAACAATTTCTTGAAGCTAGCACTGTATCAGTCGATCAAATACTGTAAAAACATGTGCACTAGTCTTCAAAACCTTGTCAGTTATGGGAAAAATATTTTCTGTTTGACCAGAACACAACGTGGGACTACATCCATCTACATGTGGTTGTGGGCCAGGTTCTTTCTGTGCTGAGTGATAATGTAGTACCAGAGTATTTGATGGGCATAATTTACAGGGGTGGGGTGGTGCATTATGGATAGTACTGCCTATCTGTAAAACACAGCTACAAGATCCAGTTTGACAGCCTTTCAACATCGTAGATGCAATATTTGCCAGCTGAAGTCCAGCATGATACTACTGAGGAACCACTTGCTTGCTTTTTATTCACACATTTTTGTGGCCGACAAAAGCAGCAAGGGAGTCTGCCCTATAATAGATCTAATCTGATTGAACCTGTACATCTTGGCAAATCAGTGCAGAATAGAAACTCAAACTTATCGGTACATGCTGCATTACACTCAATTGATTTCCTAGCATTGCTAATTCTAAGACTTGTATCTGCATGTACCAATTTACTCAAAGTGCTTCATAATTAAGGAGTCGTGTACCTATTAAAGATTTGCGTTTTTAGGTTAAATGTTCCACGTATTCACAAAATTATCAGTCAACAGCTGGTTGATAATTGCAAACTGCATCTACATAACTGCCGGCTCTTATTAAATCAATGGAGATCTGTATTGTTAACACATGTCCACAAGACAATCACACAGTTTTTAGGAAACAAGCAAAAGTCGTTATGAGCCCCCACAGAGGACCCAGTGTTCCTGTGTATGGCTTGTGTGCTAGTTATGCCCCAGAAGAGGCACCTTCAAGTACGCCCTGTTCATAACAAGCAGAACAAGAACGTTTGCTACTTTGGTCACATTAGTATAGACAGAGAAAAACCTAACCGTCCTCTATTGGTGAACTGACTTCAAGTTCCAGAGGACACGCAGGTTTAAGCCTGCTGTGACAACTCAATAGTGTAGTGGACTACATCACAAACCAGGGTGGAGGATGCAAGATCACCAGTGCTGAGATGTTGCTTTTGAGCACAACAAGGGAATTGAGTAAGCAGTTTTGCACCTGGCAGGTATGAGTGACCATTTCTGTTTCATCAACCATAATGATAATCTTGAATTGACCACCGAGAACATGGCTCTGACATCTCCTTAAGCCACTGGTAAAGCAATATGCCTACTGTACGATCTGTCAAAACCTGACACACACCACAGTGAGTTCCCCACAAATTTATTACTGTTCGAATTACACTCCTGGAGGATCTCCAACAATTAGCTGCTAAGCGTGTTTTTTTAGTCGAGATTCCAACATCACCATGCTCCAATAGAAATCCTATGTCCTTTTTGCAAATATGAATGGGAATGTTTCCATGATGTGGTAGGAGACTGCTGCTGAAGCATTTTTCTTCTGAGCTGCATGGTCATTGAATGGAGCATCAGCCTTCCACAAGAAGCATTACTCAAGCCTTCTTAGAATCAGCGTCACTTTAACAGTTGACTCGCAAAACTGTTCTTTCTGACCATTCTTGGGGAGTAGCCAACTTTTTTCAGATTGCTTTACCTCGTGTGGGAATCAATGCTCTAGCATTATAATATAAAGACTGGACTTGGTCCCCGGTCAACTGGTGTGTGGACAGTCTGCGTGAGAGATACATGGCGTATAAAAACTAAAACAAATTGTGTCAAGTCCAAAATTCTCCCACTTTCACTTTGCATTAAATTCCCTAGTTGGGGGCACAGATGTGGACGTAGTTCCACCAAAATACATTTTCTCGGATTTGAATAGTAATGTTGGAATTTAAAGTTAGGGCGTGAAGTATGGCTGAACAAATTACAATTAACAAATTCACTTAGGTGATAATTTTACATAGTGAAGCCATATTTACATTACCCTGAATCTTCCACAGCTTCAATCTATGCTAATATTTAGCACTAATCCCGAGGGATCTGTTTTGGCCATAGATTGCAGGTTTCTGGCAAAATACAAGTGTCCGATTTCCGAATTGGTTTATGAAGTATGGTTTCACATATTGCCAAGGTGAATTTGAATCTGTCATAATAAATAGTAATGACATCAGGTGCAGTCAACGGAGCTGTTCGTGAAAAAATGTGTTCGCAAGGGATTTTTAGCGGGCAGGCAAAATAAAACATCTTCAGTGGGAGGGCATTAAAAATAGGGTTTTTCAGAGGGGAATTCCAGTAGGAGAAGATTTTTATTTAGAGGGCAGGCAAGTTCCATTTTTAGATTGAGTGGGTAAGGGCAAAATGCAGAATTTTCCGCGGGCATCAACAACCAAATTGCCAAAGGGGAGGAATGTTTAGACTGGCCAAAAGGAAGTAGTCCAATGGCGCAAACTGCATGATAATATCCGCCCCAGGCAGACTGTGCCGTTTCATTTGTGGCACTTAGCACGTGATCAATTTGACTGAACCATTATATTACCATTGAATTCGCCTGCTATAAAAAACACGTTAAATTTAATTCACATGGGTTTAAGGATTGGAGCTGGTGACCAATCGTGACTTTAACTTCTTCTCTGGGAAATG